CCCCAGTTTGTACTGAAAACCTGCCAGTCCAGCAGACAGCAGCTGACATTCCAGACATTTTCCTCTGGATAACGGTTCCCACATTTCACCGGCTGAAAAATATACACGCTCCCACCCACCCCGTCCTGGATGCACAGCCATTTTCTGCAGTTATGGCTCGTTTGCCTTACTTGACCATTGGAAATAGCCACTTCCATGTGCTCTAGCTCTAGGAGTCTATCCAGACTCCAGAGGAGAGCAAACACCCAGCGCAGTGGCCTCAAGTCGATACCAGCCTCTGTTTTCAATTTGGTACAAAAATAGCTTATGAGAAGAAAAAAACAAACCTCACATTCCCAGTTTAAACAGTAAACCTTCCAGTCCAGCAGTCAGCAGCCAGAATCCAAACTATTTACGCTTCGATAATAAACATATTACGCATCCAACTGGGATGGAAGTCTGTGCTGTACCTAAAATATCACCAGAAATAAAGGATTCACCTCTAATCTACAAACAATTATACATCGTAGAGGGGAAAAATTTGTTCTGATTCTGCCAAGCAACAGTTTCAACTGTGTAGCCCCAAAAACCACAACTCTACGTCAAAAATAAAGTCTGCGATAAAAGACACAATTATTCCTCCTGAGAAATCCCCACATTTTAAATCGTTTACCTACATAAAACAGCTGCAATTTACATCAAACGACTTCCAAGTTCATGTTACAGATATCCATTTTAAATGGATGATTATCAAGTACAACATCATAAAATTATATTCAAATAAGATCTGGAAAAGCAAACAAGTTAATTTCTACCAGCTGTAAAACAAATAGATGGAAGGAGAAGCGTTTAAAATACTCCTTTTGGCTTGAAAGCTGCCAGGGAAGAAAAACTCAAATCCAAGTCATCTAACTTCAAATTGTACCAGTAAAAACTTTCCACGCAGCATTTTGGACATTTGATGCTGTAATTTGTTTTGACTTTAATCTGAAAACCATATTTTTATGTTGAAACAACAGAGGAAAAGCTTATATAAAAGTAAAAAGGATGGATCCGAGCACACGGCCCTGTGGAACTCCATCAGACTGATTCTCTTCAGATACACAGATTGCTTTTCTTTCCATAATTACTGACTCCATCTGAACAGTAGAAACTCTCTGACAAAGAGTTCACGAGGAATCTGAAGGTCAGAGAAACAGCCCGACTATCAGGACTGAACCGAACTTCCGCCTATTTGTTCTGCATTTTAAAAGTTAATCAGTTGCGGGAACATTAGATACGTGCGTCAACGACTTGTTTACTGGCAGCTGCGCCACCACGGAAGTCAACAGGAAGCCATCGGGGTTTCTGCGCTTCCTGTGGAAATGCAATGTACTCTGCGCTCCTTGGCTCCTGTACTGTAACCCTCCTCTGGTGTGTAACCATCAGATGCAAGAATGAGACGCCTCTGTCAAGGTCGCCGTCTTCTGGGTTTGACTCAAACTTAACGTAGGCAGACGACGTGGGTTTGTTCCAGTTCAGGCTACCATCTGACCGCCTTGTTAGACAAAAACAGAGGGAACGACGGAAGATCTGCCACAACCTCGGCAAAGTACCAAAAACATGCCATCTATGCCCTGCATTGGTGATAAACTCAAATCCACAGTGGGACGAAACTGCCTTGACCTTTATTGATAAAATAAAGATTTGTTTAAACTTTGAATCTGGAGCAAGCAAAGTTTAACCCTATATGTTTAACTAATGCCTTGGAAGTTGAAACTCATTGCTGGGTTTGACGACAGTATTCCAGTTAACACAGGCGGAGAAGTCAGGATTTCAACATGGTGACGCCCAAAAGGACATTGGTCACAATCTCTCTCCAAACATCGCTGAGCTTTACTTCCATCAGCAAACGCCTCTTTACCCTGAAAGCTGGCTCAAGATGCTAAAGCAGTATCCAAAACCCAACAATGTCACCATGGACCTCCAACAAGGTCCTGATACTGTTAATACAAAAAATCACGACTGTCCAATCAGAAAGCAAATCTACAAGTTTCATCATCTTCCACCACAATTGATGAAAAGGTTTGAACGTCAGGGTTTGATCTTGGAGCTACTGATCCCACCAAGTACGACGGTCTCATCACAGATTGAATATGTTGGTTGAGAAGTTGTTGATGTAAATCCATGAGTAAAGCTGACTGCAAGATGCTAAAAACAGTTTCCGACAATGTCACCATGGACCAACAGCAAGGTCCTGCGACTGTGGATGCAAAAAATCACGACTGTCCAATCAAAACACGAATCAAGTTTGACCTTTATAAAGAGTTTTCAACTGGAAAACTTTTGCTCCTCAAGAAACACACAAACAGACAAAGACTTCTGGACTAATACGAGTCTAAATCTGAATTATTTGGCACCAGGACAGACGCATTCCAGGTAAAGAACTTCATACCAACTGTGGTTAGAGGTGGAAGTGCCATGGTTTGCAAGTGTTGAGTTGGATCAGGACCTGACCAGCTTCCCATCACAGAACCCACCATGACTTCTACCAAAAAGCATTAATGCTGAAGCAGAACTGGGCCTTGAAACACAAAAATGGCTCAAAACACAGCAGAAAAGCTCAAAACTAAGAAAAGGAAAGTTTTCACAGAGATCCTGTGGGCTGAAAAAGCAGAACAGTCCTCAGAAATCTCACCCCTGAAAGTGAGAAGTGGGGCCAACTTTCCTCAGACATGCAAGAGGCGTTGACAACAAATATCCGCTTCCTGTTCCTGTTTGAGCCGTTTCAGGAAACCCTGTGCCTCTTCTCCCCGGCCTTGGAGCCCAGCTGCTGTGTCAACAGCGCCGCGTCTCCGCTGAGACTGGGGTCTGTTTGGTCTGCTGGCAGGAGGGCGTTGTCTCTAAACCAACACGGGCTCATTGTGTGATCCTGGTTGCTCCCTCTGACTCACTGCTGGCACTCAGCTAACAGTTGGATCACTGTGTGAAGGCTGGCAATGATGCAGCAAACTTTACTTTTCTAGGGTTGGTGGTTTGGATTAAGAACAGGATTATATTGGTAATAAATGCACTTAGAATGAATTGAAATCAACAGAGTCCAAATATGGGTAGAAATACAAACTGTAGTGTTTGCAAAGACTTTTTAATCTTCTTTAAATAATTGTGGATACTGTGCTGTTAGGAATGTGTGTGATTAAACTGAAAAACATTTTCTTGTAAAGTGCGTTCAGAGTATATCTGCTGTGAATTAGTGCTATAGAAATAAACTAAATTGAGTTGAACACGTTGGACGTTTCAGCCTGAAGAAAACCCGACGTAAATAATTATTTCATTGAGTCTTCAACAGATTTCACAATAAATCATTTAGCACAATGTATCGTGATCATGCTCCACAAACAATAAAAGTTCTGAAACTCAAACTGAAAAGTATTCCTGCAGACATGGATGCCTCGGATCATTTAAGCTTTCTTTTCACCGGTGTCTTTATGGTGGATGTTGTCATCGTAAGGATTTACGTCTGTTAGCTTCAAGGTGTCTAATTATTCTCATGCTGCTAAAAATCAATTTGCAAGAATCCTCTTTAATTCTCTTGTAACATTTGCAGTCAAAGTTACGAATCTTCTCCATTTTACATTTTCTCCAAATGTTCAGTAGTAATATTAATTAGTTGTGTGTTCCTGTCAAACAAAAGACGACTAGCCAAACGAAGCTAATAACCTAAAGTTGTACGTTTTGTTATATGTAAAAACTCATAATTACTTAAAAAATATTGTATTTTTCTGCTATGGGGGTCAAAATGTTTTCAGTTGTGTGACAGATCCCAGGCTGATGACGCAGATGGACTGAAGCCTGAAACAAAACTTAAGACGTTAAGGACATTTAGGCTAACAAGGGCAGCCCACAAACATCTGGATCGAGGAAAACTGCCTCAAAATGAACTATTACACAGCAAAGATGTCTTGAAACACATAAACATGATTTGCTTATAATCTAACATTTTCTATGTTAGCTAGAGCTAACACCGTTAGCAGGAGCTAACACCGTTAGCAGAGGCTAACACCGTTAGCAGAGGCTAACGCAAAACCACAACAGTTGATGTTTAAAGTGACAATGAAGCATCTTTTAGTTTTTGTAGCATCATTCCAATATATTTGAGAAAATGTTTTGATCCCAATGCTAACCATAAACATTTCAGGTTAGCATTGCTAAGCAGCAGCTGTTTCATTCATCGTTAACCTTTTGGTTCTCCTCGTTTTCATTTGTTCCTGTCATTTATGCATTTCTGTTTCAACACGTTTTGGTTCAAATTGAAAAGTCTGAATGTTACTGAATGTGCAAAAATTATTGTTCTGGATGGACGGAGCTAGCGCCTTAGCACGTAGCATATGCCATCTATCCAGGATGCATTGCAGCACAAAAAGCATGGCAACAACATAAAAAAAAATCAGGAAGGGTTTTTTTTTTTTTTTTTTTTGCCTTTTTGTAGTTAATTTGCAATATGTTTCTCAAATAAGAAGTATTGTTACAACTAATGAAGGATTCCTTTAAAAAAGAGGCGGCAGAAGCAAAGGAAGTGGATTAGCAGCGCTTACCAACAACTGATGGTGTCGCCCTTGACATGTTACTATGGAATATCATTTCTGCTGTTGGCGTGTCATGAGACTGTCATACAGCAACAGTCTTCAGTCAGAGGCTTTTTCTAAATCATTGGAAGGCTGCCTGCTACTGGAGAGCCTTTTTGAAGCTTATTACATTTAATTTCCCTCAGTGATTAATGAAATATTTTTTAATTTGAATTAACCATAAGCACACTAGAATTTATACAAGGAATAACTTTTTAATGTCAAAACAAGACTATCTTGAAGGACAGAGTCCGACTGTCTATGAGACATTCGAGATTACAGTCTAATAATAATTATGTAAGAAAGTGTCGCTGTGACAAACACAGCAGCTGAGATAACAGTTACAGAGCAGCAAACCACAAGCTGACACCAAACAGCAGAAAGTAAACCTCAAGTAAAAATAAAAGCGGGACTCACGTAGCATTCAGAGGCAGCGCTGCGCTCCGGGTCTTCACACCCAGGCAGAGCGCTTCCTGCGCCGGACAGGCCGTGGCTGACAGCGGCCCGCCGGAGCTGGAGCTGCCGCTCCGACATCACGGAAACACGGTTACATTTCCTCACACCGCCGCCTCCACGCTCCATCTTCTCCGGTTCGGGTTGCGCCTCCAGAACACCGTTACGAAATGTCGACAGGGCCGGAAAAAAAACGGAAGCCGGTAAATTAAAACAGGCCGTTGGAGCCTCGGTTCCTCACTCAGCGGTTCCGCTGTTCCGTGGAGCCCCGTGTTGCCAGATCTTGATAGAAAAAACAGCAACCAGCTATGAAAACAAGCCCAAAAACCCCAACTAGCAACCTGCTTGTAAACGGTATGAAGTCATACATTTATGGTAAAAAAAAATATTTTTTTAAAAGTATAACTAATAGCCAAATATCCAGTATAAATATTCACTATTTTATACAATTAATCAGGGGAGACCAATGGCAATTATAATAACCCCAAATTACGTTATTTATTTATTTGTTTGTATTCCTTTTGAGCGCTTATCGTCTCTTCTTCGTTTTATCAGATTTATCTATAATTAACTTCCGGTTTTAGATTTAATGCTTTTATTTTTGAAAAGACTATTAAATTTCCGGTTTTGTATTATTGAACTGCAGCTTAACGAAAACAAGAGTCGAGAGTTGATAAAATGTATGTTTACTTTGTAAATGAGCATGTTTTCAATATTGAGCAACTAAAATTGTTTCATCGTATACTAAAACTAGAGTTATTTCAATATTCAAATATTTCAAAGTTGCAAACATAACGGTTTTAGTTTACAGTTTTTTTGTGTGTTGACACTTTCTTTACAACTACGTCACTTAATCACTCTAGGCGCCAGTATGAACGGCGGAAGTGAGGACCGGAAGGATGGAAATTGTTTTTCCAAGTTGTTTTTGCCAGCTTAGTTATGGCTTCTAATGCGTTAGATTACTCGTTACTGAAAAAAGTGGTCCGGCGGACGTCACACAGTAACTGACAGCCATGTTGGTAGGCAGGTAACTTACCTTCAATATAAGTACATAATTATTACCTGATCACAATTTTTGAAAACTCCACTCACCTCGCTGTAATACTTAGATAAACATTGGTGGTATTTACAGCTGAACCAATAATAGCAGCTTAGCTAATGCAGCTTTATCTGCAGGACGGACATGTTGCCTACTGTACGTGTTTGTTACTGCTTGAACTTACTCTGCCAGTCACCACAACCTTGTTGGAGGGTTTGTACATCAATAGACATTCAAATTTAAAGTTTATACAGGGGATTTTTTTATTGTCATACCATTTTTCACAATTGGTTGAATTTGTTCTTGCATTACTAAGCCGCTATATTACTTGAAGATGGTTATCGTTTATTGCAGTAACTTCTAGAACAATTTATTATCCATCAGAATCTGTTATTGTGACAAAAAAAGAACCCTGCTGGCAGGGTATGATGATGTCACACACAGCCTGATGATGTCATCAGTGACATCACTTGATGATACAGCCACTGGCTATGACTTGTCAGAATCCTCTCCATTTGTCTCCGGACTTCGAAGCTGTCTGACCTACGTTACGTTTTACTCTGACAATTTTGGCTTTAAGCTGCGAGAAAAACCTCAAAATGTACAAAGTTGAGAAGCAGAAAGCAGTAACTGCTTTTTACGATGCTGAGAAAGTGCGCAAAAAGAACAACAAGGCGATCCAGAAGCTGGTAAAGACCAATGCAGACCTGGAGAACGCCTCGGACCGCAGAAGCCGCTATCAAAATCGGAAGAGGCTGGAGAAAGATGAGAGGGTGTTTTTCAAAGAATGCGAGAAGCGGCTCTACAAGCTGAACTTGGAATTTGACATCTGGGCAGACGAGGAACAAAAACTGGATAGTTTATGCAAAAGAAGGGCGATGCTTTTTGATGTGTTGAAAAACACGAATGAGCAGCTAATTGAGGAACCCATGATGAAGTCGTTGAACCACGGGGCCCAACAACGTCAGGATAGGCTGATGTTTCTTAACAAAGAGTTAAGAAAAAATGTTGGCATCTTGTCAAGACAACTTGTTCAACAAACGAAGCTATTTGAAGAATTCACAGAGAAAGAAAGGGAAAACAAAGAGATGATGACGATTCAAGACAACTACTTCAGAGAGATCAGGCAGAAATTAAAAATGTACAACTTGGTCACTGTAAAGAAGAAAGCCACCTCGGACGATGAAAGCGGGAAGGAAGCGTTCAGAAAGAACCAGAAACTGGAGGGTATGCTCAAATCACTGAGCCAACAGACGATCAACGTGCCGATGCTGAAATATCAGTTTCTCTGCGCAGTCGACGAGAAACGGAGGCTCAGCATCCTCAACGGGGAGCTGGAACTAGAGGTTCTGGTGTTGACGGAAAGGCTTTCGGATCAGACTGGCTGGGAGGTTGCCTTCAAGGACGTGGAGAAGAAGGTCAAGGATCTGCAGCAGACCCAGGCTGCTCGTCTGAAGAAGATCGAGGAATTGAAAGCAAGCGCAAAGCTTGGGACCAAATCCATGTTTTCTTCGTTTTCAAAGGAGAAAAAGGAAAGAGAGAAGCTGACCAAACGCTTGAATTATTTCAGGACTAAAATCACTTCTCTCCAGAAGGAATACAGAGCCTTCCAACCAGACATTGAGGCATATATGAAGGAACTGGAGGCTGCTGCAGAAGCTGCAGCTGCAGCAGCAGAAACTTCTTCGGATGTAACAAGAGACTCTCCTAAATCCAAGAAATCAGAGGAGTCTTCCGGTGACTCTGCCAGTGATTCAGATTATGAAGAGAGCATCACTGAAGAGTCAACCGCTTCAAGGAGTCCCATCCAGGAAAGGAAACAAACAGGAATGTTTCCAAGTGCTTGGTACAATTGGGAGGAAGAGTCAAGGGATAGTCCAGAGGCCGCAGCTGAAGCCCTGCCTAGAAGCAAGACGTCTACAGAGGATTCAATAGACAGCCAGCAGAAGAAAAAAGCCGTCATACCGAGGCTAATAGAGAAACGTCCAAGCTCCAGGGCAGAATCTGTGGACTCACTCAAAGACTGCAAATGTCAACCAGCTACGTACTCTAGGAGGATGACAGGCACTCCACCTTCCCGCAGAGCGTCCTGGTGGAATTTCCTCTTCTAAGCGGAGGAGAGGGACGAAGCGTTCCTCCGCAGCTTGTAGGAGAAAGTCACTTTTGAACTTCTGGGTTTTCTCCGGGCGCTCCGGTTTGACAATCACCACCCAAAAAAACATCCATGGTAGCTTCATTGGTCTCTCTAATTTGCCCTTATTGTGACTCTGTTGCCTTTTATATTCTAACCAATAACATCCAAAAACCATTGGTGACAGGTTAATTCGTCTTCCTAAATTTCCCTTAGGAGAGTCTGTACTTGTTTGGCTTTTCCACTCAGGATCATTTCTGCCATGTTGTCGAACCTTCTGAAGACCGAAGGGTCTTACAGGAACCAGAACCTGGTTCTATTACCTGGTTCTGGGTCAGGGGTGTTCCCTGTTGATGAACCGTTTTCTCCGGGTGCTCCGGTTTGACCATCACATCCAAGCAAACATCTGTGATAGTTTAACACGCCAAGCCAAACCCACTGAAGCAGGAGTGAGAAAACTGATTCAACAACCAAACCAAGACACACAGAAATTATAAAAAGTTACTTTCTAGTTTATTTATGACTAATAAACTATCAATAACTGTGATCTTCTCCAGCTAAACGTAGCAGACTGCTCCATCAACCAAAATCCACCACAGTCAGAAGACGATTCCCGACTCTGACTGACCTTAATCTAACTTTTTATAGATTTATTTATATTTATAGTCATAGATTACTATATTTCCCATGTGAATTCTAGTTATGTATTTATTTAATATGTTTATTTTATATTTATATTCAAATCACTTACAATATCACAATTATGTCTATATTTTTTTTATAAATTTTATATTGTGTATGGTTTCATTTGTATGTAAAAATATTTAACACTTTAGATGGAGTAGCTGTCAATATATAAGGCCCTGAGGATCAATAAAGAATATTCTGTATTATTCTATTCTATTCTATTATGTTCTATTCTATCCTCTTTTAAAAGTAGCAGTTAAACCTGACGTGTTTCCATCTTTTAAAAACCCTGTAAATTTATAAAATCTCAGTATTTTTCAGCCATTTTTGATCTATAGAAACTGATTTCACTGTATAAATAAAATTAAACATCATTCAAAGTTCAGTACGTTTATTTAGTAGAAATGCTTTTAAAATCCAAAAGTTGGCTGTGAAACCAGAACGAGCTTCTTTAAAACTTTGTTTCTTGTCATTAATATCTGAACTGTTTTAGTTTATCTGTCTTTTAGCTTCTTTTCCTCCATTTTTTAAATATCTATTTTTCTGTGGTACTCTGATAGTTATATATTTTTTATAATTTAAACATTTTGTTCAGCCACTGAAAAAATGCTAAGAAAGCATAATGGTGTGGTATAAATATATTATTTTATTGTAAGAAACTGGAGATTTATTGTTGGAGATTTCCAGTTTGTGGTTAAATTAAACATTAAAGTCAAACTGACATTTAAACCGTTAGAACTGGTGATTAGTTTATTAGTCGGCTTTTGGCCGTTTTAATAAGGACCTTTTTGTCCTTAATGACTCAAATTATAAACTGAATTTAAAATACAACAAAGTTAATATTTTGGCAAATCTTTAAGATCTTTAACATTTGACTTGAAATAAAAGAAATTAAGAAATTCCACTAATTTACTATTTTCTGTATGAAAATAACTTTTTACTTTTTTGTATTTTTTATATATAAATATTTAACGATTTTTTATTTTTTATTTTTTGCCTTTGACACAAGCTGAGTAAATTAAGCATTTATTAAAATAAATAAATCACATATATAATTTTCTGCGGTGTTTCAGTTTAAGGTTAAAAACAAGTTTGAATATTTTATTTATTGATATTTTTATCGCTGCTGTCATTCTAACGTTTCTGTTCTTGTAGTTGCAGAGAAAATCCACCGCGCGGCGCTGTTGTCCATCTGTTTCCGCATCTGAACGCCTGCAGCGAACAACGCAGTTAAATTGTTCAATGTTTCACTATTGGGACAAATTTACTAAAGATTCACATCTAGAAACAGATTTTGTATGAACACCCAGAGATAACTTCTATTCTTTGTTGAATTACTTTCCCTTTTCAGGTGTTTTTCACCATCCAACAGGTTTTCCAACAGGATCGTTTTGTTTTTTGCTCCATCCAGACTCTGTGTCTCTCCAGCATCTCCACAGCATGATGCTGCCACCACCACGTTTCACCTTAGAGACACAGAGTTCACGGTAACGAATAAGTTCCTCCACATGGAGGCAACGACAAAAACGTTTCATGTGTTCCCGCAAACATTAGTTACCATAGCAACACAACTTTAAAAAGATAACTCACATTTTCACACTGAATTTGCTTTAAATGAATAATTTAAACCAAACGCTGCACATATTAAATGATCCAAGATGAGAAAAAAAAACCCTCAATGTGATCATTGAAAATAAAGATTAAATTTATTTAGATCAGGTCTGAATAGTCGGGGCTGTTGATGGTGATGAAGAGTTTAACTGCAAACATAAAGAAGTTTTCACAGAAACTTTAATTTGAATTACAAATGAAAGACCAAGTGTGAAAAAGATCTGAAAATCTGAAAAGTGTGGCATGCAATAAACCGTTGACTTGGATGAAGCCATTTTGAATTGATCTGAACTCACAGCCTGTGTGATGAAACACGGTGGTGGCAGCATCATGCTGGAGGGAAGCAGGTCAGAGTTAATGATCAGATAAATCAGTTTTTCCCAAATGATACTTTTACTCATCAAATAAAGCAAAAATAGTTTTATTTTTATTTATTTTTTCCTCCTCAACAATAAACTGAACATCAATATTTTTATTAAATGAAAAGTTTGCATCAACCTCCTACAGCGGCCACAAAAAAATCCTCCCCAGGGCCACAAATGGGCCCACGCGCCTCATTTTAGACACACCTGAACTGAAGTCAGGTTAAAGTTTGTTGGAGCTGCATCTTCCATCAGGACAATCACCAAAAAACCCTAATGCTACGATGTGAGTGGTCCAGTCAAAGTCCAGGCCTAAGTTCAGACTTGAAAGCTGATCACAGATGTTCTGCATCAGACTGGAGCTGTTTGCAACGACGAATCAGCGAGTTTTTCATCCAGACATTCAGATTCTCACGTGTGTGAAAAGCAGCTGTGGTTTTCTGTGCAACAGGAAGTGTGTGTGTTCGTGTGTGTGTGTGTGTGTGTGTGTGTGTGTGAGGCAGTAGAGGCTCGCTGCGGTTTGGTTTTTCCAGCTCATTATCTTATCTGTGATCAGTGGCTGCGGCTCGGACTCTGAAAGCAGCCTCAGGTGTCGTGGGCGTCGTTTGTGGAAATGTTAAATGTTTCTCACAAAGGTCACAGACAGAAAGGACTCGACTGTTTACAGAGTCACCTTTCACGCAGTGATGGAAATGTTCTAAAAATTAGCTTCAAAGCAAAACCTTTCATCTGTTGTGTTGTTTTTTATATTTGGGACTTTAAATAACTGATGACCCAGTTAGGATTCATACTAACTATTTCTCTGCTCTCTGCTTGAAGTCTGACATCTTGTTTTTGACTCAAATGGACCAAAAAATCATAAATATTTCTGGTGCCTGTAAATTTTACTTGGATTACGCCCAACATAAAGAGATGCAGCTGGTGAAATTTATGCCAATATTTATTTTCAAAATATCTCAAGTTAAGTCTGTCTGTCTGTCTGATAGATTTTAATTTTTTAACATTTTTAGGCCAATTAATCATATTTTTAAAGTTTTGTTTTTGTTTGTTTGTTACAAAGGTTCCGGGCGGAACCGTCATGCTCTCGTGTTTCTAGTACGGCCGTAAATCTGACGCACATCCCTAAGAAAACATCAACAGAAGATGAATCTGCTTCTCTCGGCAAACTGGAGGATAATTCCTGCTTCTAATGGATCTGACTGGACGCTGGAAAACATTATTGTTGTGTTGAAGTTGTGCTACTGCAACAGACTGGTGACCTGTCCAGGTGACCCCCGCCTCTCACCCGGAACGTTAGCTGGATAGGCAGCAGCACCCCCCGATCCCACCATGGACAAGGGTGTAAAGAAAATGGATGGATGGATGGATGGATGGATGGATGGATGGATGGATGGAAGTTGTGCTAAAAGGAATTAGCCTTTATCCAAGCTAGCATCTCAATGCTAACCATGTTGCTAATGCTAAATTCACCGCCCACGTTTCTAAATGAGTCACATGAACGATCAGGGCTTCCTGAAACACTTTACATCAATCTGATGGTTGAACAGCAGATTAGAAACTATAAATATATTGTTGCTCGGCTCATATGTTGATTTATTCAATAGTTTAGCAACAAAAAAGGATTTTTGAGTTGAAATGGTTGCTTATCTGTAGTGTGATGGCCTATTAATGGCATGTTTTCGCATAAAAAGCATAACTTTGAACATAATTCAACACTTTTTATCACTGATTCTATAATTTCAGTCAAAGTTTTATTTTAATTAGTTACATGTTGGATTACTGTTAATGTGTTTGTAAAGACATAACACTTATGAGACACAGTGAAATTTAATATAAAGTTTTATGATTATTCTGAAGTCTGAGCTCTTCATTATCCTGCTTCCTGTTTCTCATCCATCCACACTGAAAACAGGAGAACCAACTTTTAAAAATTATGTTAATTTGCTACAAGTAATCAAATTAAGTTTAAACAAATAAGTTTATTAAATTGTCATGTTTAGAAAACTGAATAAATTCAGTTTGGTAAACTTCATTTGATTACAAACTTTTTTTAAGTTGGAGCTACATTCTCTTTTTTCAGTGCAGCTGGGGTTAAACCAAAACGTCCTAATCCAAACATGTCCATCTGCAGCCTCCGTATCGATGGTTGCGGGTATCGATGCGCGCGGGAGGTGTGGCGGGGAGGGTTGCGGGGCGGACCGGGGCAGCCTATAAATGGATCAGGTTGCGGGTTTGACTCACCTGAGCGAACCGGAGCATCTTCCAGCAGCAGGTGCGTTTGTGCTACTGACCCGCACGCGCTCACAGGTGTGTCTGTTGTTATCATTTCTTGCTCACCCTTCTGTGATTTTAGCGCTTAAACCTGGAGATACATCTGAGGATCGTCGCGTCCCGCAGCGATGAGCCTCCAGTTGGTGCTGATGTTTGGCGTCGGGACCGCGCTCCTCCGCGTGGACGCGCGCGTCCGCCTGAACTCCATCAGAACCGTGATCCTGACGGAAGGTCACGCGCTGCCCCTGAACAGGAGCGCGTGGGGTCCTGGCGTGGACCTGACGGTGAGTGATACCAGCACAAACTGTAGATATCCGAGATCTGCTGCAAAGTTAAAGACGGCAGAGTCCAAAATGTAGGTAAAACAAACCCAAACATAAACCACAGAGTGAAAATAGTGAAGGGAGGAACTTTAGATTGGGTTTTTAAGTTACTGACTTTCAGCTTGTTCCAGTTCTTTAGTTAAATTTATGCAAAACCCTGAGAGTTTATTGTTTTCGTGCTTTTAAATCCTGAGAAACATTTTCCTAACATCGATTGTGTGTGAATGTTATAGGAAATGGATGGAAAAGCAGCAAAAATCCAAGAGAAGACTGCAAGACAGGACAAATTAACAAATAAGGGCAGAATCTGGAGGATTCCTCTTCTAATTTGGGACATATTTCAGTGTTTCAGTTTAAAAAAATAACTTCAGCAACCTGATTATAGGAAGGAAGTTAAATTTAAAGAGTTAACATCAAAAATAGAGGCTCAAAAACCTTAGAATAACTTGAACAACAATAACTGAACGTTATATTTTTACTAACAAAGAATAACCAAGAGAAAAAGAAGATTTTCAAAATAAAACCTCTCAGCATTTAGCTCTATTGATCATGACTGGAGATGGTTGTTTTCCTACTTGATGTGTACTTTAGTTTATTCTCACAGTTAGCATACGCTAACCAGGTTGGTGTCTGATTTCTGATTCCTGTTAGCAGCTTCCATTGTTCTGATTGTTATGTTTCCTTTTATCTGCTCTGTTTTACAGTTATTAGTCTTTATATCTATCTTTGTGTTACATCACGTTAGCATGACCAACATCCTGGTTAAAGTCAATAAAGTGCAGATGGATGGATGCTACGTCTCTCCAACAAACATGTTAAAATGCTTCATACTCCATCATAAAGTTTCTTAATCTACATCCTAATCTGCTACAGTGCTTCAGATTTGATCTGTTTATCTGCAGCTACTCAATAATTTCAACAATTAAACATTAAAATGTATCAATAAATCTTCTCAGTGTTCCTAACAATATCAGCTTAGTGACAATGTTTCAAATTTTACCTACAAACCATTTAAAATGTTTCCAGTTTCATTAAATATCCTGCTACAATGTTTCTAAAATATACTGAAGAATCTATTCTAGATCGGATCAAAACTTCTGCTACAATGTTTCACTGTTAAAATGTTTCAAACTGCCTGAATGTTTGTAACTCTGTTATAAATATGTTGCATTTGAAAATGTTACTTCAACAAACCAGAAGTTGCATAAAATGTTCCAGCCTTCCCTGGATGGTCTGTTAAAATGTGTTGACAAAGTTTCAGGTTAATCACAATATTTAGTGTGAAACGTCCTGACCCTCATCGCCTAAACGTCCTGAATAGTCTGGAATATTTGGAGGAAACTTGCTGAATAATCCTTGGTTTGTGTGTCTCTGTGCAGCTCTTCCAGTGCATGAGCGACCTGGAGTGCACCGAGGGAAACTACTGCCACGTCCCGACCCGAGGCCCCGCCCACTCCCGCTGCCACGCCTGCCGCCGCAGGAGCAGGCGCTGCCTCAGGGATAGCATGTGTTGCCCCGGCAACCGCTGCAGCAGCAGTAGGACCTGCTTTTAAGATGATGGTCATATAGTTGGAAAATATGAAGAATTTTAACATAGATTGTTTTGTTTACTTGTTTTGCAGACATTTGTGTTCCTGTGCTGGACGGTTTTTGGTCTCAGAGTGTCCTGGACGCCGATGGAGACGTGAACCCGCCGTCTAAGAGAGGATGGAGGAAACGAGGGAGGGTGAACCTTAAAGGGTCGTCTGGTAGAGGTGAATTTAAGTTTTTATTTCAGTGATGTTGTCGTAAAAAGCTTCAGAGGACGGTTTTCTGTGTTCATCAGTAAGGTTGTTTTCCCAGCTGATGGTCCAAAGTTACAACATTTATTCCATCTCCAGCTGCTGTGGATCTCGTTCTCTCTGCTGAGTCAAACCAACCAAACCCTTTAAAAAAACCTGTTCCCCTCCTGACCTGTGGGGGCGCTGCACCAAGAACCACTGAAGGAAACGACACAAACACCTCTGAAGAGACTAAATGCAACTTCTTTCTTCATTAAATGGAAACAAAAATAGAGTGATGTCAGGTTTTAGTGGTTTGGTAAAAGAAAAGGAGCCATTTCTCCTGCTAGCGCTGGGCTAGCGTGTTTGTTTTGGTTGGATTTTTCCACTAAATTAATTTTTCTGTACAAATTGTAAAGAACTAATTTACTTTCTTGTTTGGTAAACTTTTAGTTGAGTAAAGCCTACAAAAAATAATTATTTTGGTGGTTTTTTTATAAGCTCAAAGAGCAGACGTGATCGGTCGACACAACGACCCAGCTTAGTTTTTGCTTTTTCGGTTTGCATCGGACCAAGTGGACTTTCCAGGCAAACGGATGGTTTGCATCAGAGTTTGATGAACCAAACTTTTTAGACAAATGGTCTGGACTTCCACTAATCCGCTAATATGAAGCTAATTTCAGTGGTTAGTGGAAAATATTTGTCACATTTAGTTTCCCCTAAATAAATTTCTCTGGAGTTACAAAGCGCTAATTTACTTGCCTGTTTTGCAAGCTTCCAGTTCAGTAAAGCATAAAAAAACATCAAGTCAAACAGGAAGTGTGATTGTTAACTCAACGACAGTTAGCTGTGGGTTTTTTTGACCAATGGATTTTCTCGGCAAACAGACTGGAGTTTGATGAAAGCGGAATAATAGTTTAGTTTTTTGGTTCCAGGTCAGCTGGGCGACCCGTGCCTGCGCTCCTCTGACTGCTCGGACACTTTGTGCTGCGCCCGCCACTTCTGGGCCCGGATCTGCAAGCCGGTGTTGCGGGAGGGCCAGGTCTGCACGCGTCAGCGGCGTAAGGGCCACCAGGGCTTGGAGCTGTTCCAGCGCTGCTCCTGCGGCGAGGGACTCACCTGCCGGGCCGCTCCGAACCCAAACAGCCAGACTCATCCACTGCAGCCATCTTCACTGCTGGACCAAGCCATGAAACCTAAGTTTGAGGTTTCCCCCTCCTTGTCTCGGCACGCCTCTGCCCACACCTCGATGCTGCCCGCAACCTCGTCGTCTTCAGTGGCGACAAAGACGAGACTCCACGTGTGTCAGAGGAAATAAGTTGGACAAACAGGGAGAAAAACGGACTGATGGAAGGATGGACAGAGCAAAAGCTCCTCTGTCTGTGATCGAGGCCAGAGGCAACGGGAGGCAGAGAGATTTGTAGAAGAAAGAGTGAATAACATTCCTGTTTACACCCTCAGCATCTCCTTAAATATCTGGAAGGTCATCGGCTTCCTGTCACGCCAGCTGAAGGAGACACGAAACCCTTTGAGGTTCAGGTGTGATTTCCTCCAGGGCGTCTGGACGAGCCAAACCGCTTTGAAATCCAGTCTGACCCCTTCTACCCCAACGACACCGGGGCAAATGTTGATGCATATCTGATGTAATTCACACATTGGTTTCAGCTTTTGATCTGTTCATCAGTAAATCTACAAGGTCCAAAAGTCAAACCCAGAGAAACCAAGTTAAGCTAATGATGTTTGGTGAGTTAAATAAAATATTAACCAAATTTAGTCAACATTTCTAAAAATTTGGATTAAATATTCTATCTTTATAACATTGTACCACAGACATGTAAACAGTTTTATCTCTCTGACCCCCATCCAGCTGTTCACCATTGTTAGAATCCTTTCATATAACTTGTATATCTGTTTTAAACTTATAAAAACATTTTATGTAAATGTTGTCAAACTTTTTACATTTTAGCTAATTTTACTGGGTTTATTCTCTGAGTAAAAACTAAATAAATGAATTAATTCTTTCTAGACTACATATGTTTTATTGCACTGATATTTTGAAAGAGTTAGTTTTATATAAATGTTGTATTTTGTGGTAAATCTGTGTAATTATTCACATTTATTCAGTTTAACTGAAAGTTAAAAATGTTTTGTGATTAAATTTGCTTCTTGCTATAGTTTTCTGTTTTGTACAATAGTAAAAGCACACTTACTACACAAGACCTCTGAACCTTATTTACCTTTTTACTGCTTAATTTCTACCAATAGATGTTATGCTAGCTGACTAAGCTAGCTGGCCCCTTGAGAACATTTAAGAAAATAGCTAACAGTTTCTCCCTGGATTAAAACATTTCCAGTCGAGCTTCAAACTGCTGACATTATGGGTAAAAGATCTAATGTTGGTCTCAAGAACACCTGATTTTATCTATATTTGACTTTATCTTTTTGCTAGCAGCTAGCTTGTAGTAGCTGTTAGCTTAGCTAGCTAAAATGCTATGATCTTCGATTGTTATATGAACTAAACTATTATAAAAATAATATATTAAAAGAAGAAATAATAATCAGACATGAAAGAAATTCAACATATTATTGTGATAAATAAGTCCAGCTTATTGATAGATAATACACAAAATAAAAAAAAGATTTTAAAAAATCGTATTTTTGTCATTTACTAAGCTGTTTGTAATTTCTAGTTTTAACTTACATTATTTATGAGCCATAGTTTTCCTTAAATGCACTTTATGTGATGTATAAATATTAAAATACAAGGACTTCGGACAGCAGAAACCATCTCATCTAAGTATGTAGCAGGCGCAAAAAGTCAGAAAGATAAAAAAAATTTAATTTCCAAACATAAAAATCAAAGTTTGTTCTGAAACCAGTCAGGATTAGGGGAAAAGTTGTTAAAAAGTGGAAAAGAAATTTATAGATGTGGCTGAAAAACAAAGGATTGAACGTTATGCACTTAAACACATTACAGGGAATATTACCATCAAGAAGTTGCGATAACAAACTGATTAGACTAATATAGCTAAAATATTTTACATCTGGAAAACTGTGTTAGATTTAAAAGTTTAAACACAAACATGAGCTCCCATATCAATAACTGGTTTCGTAACAACTCCAGTTTCATTCATACTCTACAGAGTTGTAATTAGACACTGAGATTCAAATACTGACATTTTGAAGAGCCACGTGTTTTTGTATTTAATCCCTTAAACCGGTCCTGCAGGATTAAGAAGTTAAGCTAAATTTACACCCAGCTGGTGCATGAGGCCCCACCAGAGTTTGGTTCAGGCTGGGTGGGTTCTGGTCGGCCCAGGATATTTGGACCCTCTGGGTTCATTAAACAGAATCCATTTGGGGAACCACCAGGGTAGTTCTTCGTATGAAAGAGCTCAAAATATAAAAATCCAAACCTCTACAGCCAACATGGGTCCCACACGTGGACAACATCCGAGTTTCTAAGCACATTTTCTGCCCAAATGGGTCTCATCTCACTTTAATGTAAAGATTAGGATAAAATCACAAACTCAGTTTGACCCTCTGCCACACAGAGGGTCAAACCACTCTATTGGTTAGAGTGGCCCAGTTTGTTAAAACTTCATCCCAGTATAAAACCATCAGACATACGGCTCCCCCTGGTGGCGAGGCAGGTTACAATCCCCACAGTGGGCCGTGTGTTTTTGGCTCTGACCTTTTTGTTGGATTTTTTTTTTTTTAATTTGGGGAGGGATTAGCTTTCAGAGAGGTTGGTTACATTTTAATTTACTCAAATTTCCTCTCTAATTCACTACTGTTTTTGGGTTTATTACCATATTTCACTTGGTCCATCTGTTTAACTCCCAGAGGTCATTTACACCTTCACAGCCGTAATTTATTTAATTTTAAGTCAGTTTGACTCGTACTCCAACCAACCACCAAATTACAAAATTTAGAAGTAAAAAATATTAAGATAAGTGCAGAAAAGTGTATTATTATTCTTGTAGCTAAAAATAAAACATTTACATTTCCAAACAAGTCTTCAGACTAAAACCTCCAGCTGTTAGCCAGCATTTATCCAGCTGAATGGCTCTGACAGAACCAGCAGAATATTTTAAACAGCTTTGCTGTGAAAAACAAGGTTTAGGTTTATGTGAGCTAAGTTATATATCTGATATGTGGAAAAGCTCATGTTTCCTGCAGCCTTCCCTGATCTGACTGGGATCTTCTGCAGGAGGACGTGAGCTTCCCTGTTTGTGAGGAATCGCTGTCCTGACTTTGACCTCTGCTGCCGTGAAGATAAGCTCACCGGGTCGTTTCCGTTCGCTTCCGGCAGAGTTTCCCCGTTCAGGCACGTCCGCAGTAGGTCACCAATCTGCATTGTTGTCACATTTACATCTGTGGTTCCCCGTTTCGCTAATGTCACAGGTTTGTTTCATGGCTCTGATTTGGATCTGAGAACAAGGACAAAACTCTGAAGGTTAGCTTTCAGTTGTATGACTCAGTATAACCGGAACGTTGTCCTGAACCGAAGAGGCCCAGGAATCCACTTAACCATTACAGACACCAAAGAGCTAACTGGCTAGCTTGACAGGCTATATTAGCAGCTAGTTAGCAGTAGCATCAACTGCCTCTAGTCTCAGAAAGTAAAGATGTCGAATCAAACTTTTGTCTAACATAAAAGTCCTACAAGAAAAAAACAAATAAAACATTGATTATATGAGATTGAATAATCCTGCCACGACAAAATCTAAGACCTGTGATTAACGAATTTAAGGCCAAGTTTCATTTTAGTAACGAATTTAAGAGTTTTTAAGGATGCACAGACACCTTATGGTGTCTGTGCATCCTTAATGTTTCGATTAGCATCAAACATTAATCAGCATGCTCAGTCCTGTCTGTTCATTAATGACAACCTTCTTCCTGAATGTGGGCCTGATATGTTTGTTTAAAGAGAAGCCAGAGGAAGTCGAGGTTAAATAACTGTAAAGTTTATGACTAACTGACTGGAACAACATCACAGCAACATGACCACAGTAAAAAACAACATTTTAATGATGAAAGTCAGAGCAGATGTTGAGATATCTTCTCTGAGCGTCCGCTGACAGCAGGTCACATGATTAAATCGATAAATTTACATTTTATTTTTGGTTTTATTACAACATAAAAGCAGATAAAAGTCAACACATGGTGACACAGTCGTTAGCGCTGAAGTATGAGGAATTGCAGAGACGTTTATCACTTTTATGGGGCAATAAATCCTGAGCGGAGCGACAGATAGTGAGGCTGGTTAAACTTTAACCTGTAGTCACTCCTGTAGAGACTGAGCTTCCTGCGCTGACCGGACCAGGAACCCGGTCTCTGTCTGCTGCGCCTGCTCAGGTACGACCAGGTGAGAATACGTTTTATTAAATGTTTTTATCGTCATGAAGGACAGTAAAGATGACTCAAAGGGCTTATCAGCAGGCTAGATCAAAGTTAAACCAACTTTTAGAGCGTTAGAAGACAGAAGCTGTCAGTTTGTTGGGTTGTTGATTTGCAGACTGAAAAATATTGTTGTTGTTTTACCAGATGGACAATAAACTTGGTTTCCATGACAACATCCTGAGTCGGTTGATAAAACCAAGAGACGAACAAAGGGATGTTCTTGTTTTAAATGTGCTGTTGCTAGGAGACAGGCAGAGTGGGCGGAGCTCTGTGGGGAACGCTCTCATTGGTCAGTCCTTTAAAAAGCAGAATTTTATTCAGATTAATTTTTTCATCTGAATTTAACGACGTTTCTCGCTGGTCAAAGGCGGAGACGAATTTCAAACGGGAACCTGCGTTTCTGGCGTTTCCATGACGACAGATGTCCGGGTCCTGAGCAGGAAGTTTCCTGCGTATTTCAGGAGGCAGGGGGCGGAGTCTGACCTCGTGCTCAGAGTTTTGGACACGCCCCCCGTGAAGCTCCGCCCACAGAGCCTGCATGAGCTCTGCCCCGGTGGCGTTCACGTGTTGGTGGTCGTCATAAGAGTCGATCAGCTGAACGAAAACTCACAGCTGCTGAGCCACACAGAGGTACAAAACAAACATTTAGATTTCATTTAATTATCGTCTTTGTCTTATTTAAGTTTTGTGCTCTTTCACAAATGTATTAATCTGAATTTCATTCCAACCTATTTCTACTTAGTGGTGGTTTCATGGCCCATTACCTGTTGTGTTTTCGTACCTTTGGGATAGAAAAATGTCTGCTTCTCCTGGAGAGACATTAGTTAATGTGCACCAACATACCATTTTATATCAACGTTATCTTACTCAGTAGCAACTTATTTTGTCAAATAATCTGGATAAATAAAATGATTTCTCCCAACAACTGGTTCTAGTACAAGCTAGTGGTAATGTTTGCTTAGTGTGATCTCTTTTTTCCAAGTATAACTGTCAACTAACTGAAATGAGCCATACAAATTAACTTGATTGATATAAATGTCTAACTATTTGAATAATTCATAATGGTCGAAAAACCAAAACTTCAACCCAGATGTTGAACTTTACAGAAAGCTTACAAAACAGCCAAGTAAATTAGCGATTCAGAATTTATCCAATAAATTAATATAGGAGAAGCTAGATGTGCTAAATATTTTCAGAGCTAGCAAAATTGCTAACTAAATTAAAAAGTAGCTCCACATTAGCGGTTTCTAACGCATTTCCTGATCGGGACAATAACCCACATTTCTTATTTTTCTTCTCAGAAACTTAAGACTTTTTAAAAACTTTTTGTTGCCTTTCAGAGCCTCTTCGGTCCAGACTGGCGTCGTCACGCCATGCTCGTCTTCACACACGCTGATCACCTGGAGAAGGCGGGGCTTCAGCCGCCTACTTTCCTCACCCAGACCTCTGATTGGCTGAGCTCTCTGGCTGAAGAGGTTGGGGGCGGGGTTTCGTTTTTGGACAACAGCTCTGATTGGCCATCAATCAGAGGCCGCCCAATAAGAGATCAACTGCTCCGCCTCTCAGCGAAGAACCATCACGAAGCTCTGCAATTTAGGTCAGACCAATCACTCTGACACAAATTCTGAGGACCAAAACCATCAATGTTAATGTTGTTTTTAGGTCTGTAACAACAACAAATGTAATTATTGCGATAATTGATAATATTGTTATTTTAAAGACCATTTTAGAGTAGTATTTTGAAAGACCAATAAACTTTAATTTTGTAAGGTACAGTCAACACTGAAACTGGAAGATATTTCAAATATAAATGTTAAATTTCACTGCTAAAAATATGCATATTTTGAAAAGTGCAAAATAATCATTTTAGTTTCCAACATGTTTGAAAAAACTTTAGTGGCAGCTATGTTAACTATAACCAGCATTTGAAATAATGAAAGTAATAATAACACGAAATAATTAAAAAGCAAAAGAAAAAACATAATTTTGTCTGTTTATTTAAGTATTTTTCCTTTGGTCTGTCAGTTCTTTTGCAGCCACAACAGCAGAAACGTGTACCAGCAGTTTTTACACAAATGATCCAGAAGGGGGCAGTTTTCTATCTGATGGTGCAGTTAGTGAGAGAGGGAGCCCTGCAGAGCCCCTTCCCCTTCACCTCGAACCCACAGCCTTTGTAGTTGGCCACACCTTTACTGTCCACCTGCAGGTCAGGCAGCAGAAGCTCCCAGATCCTCTGTTTGGATGAAAGTTCATCGTCCGGTTCACCTAAAACAACATGGCGGATCCTAATGTTCGTACCTGTTCAAACAGCTTCACAAAGTCTAAAAATTACCTGAACACTGTTGCCATAGTTACCAGGATAGCTCAAGAAGGTGATTCTGTCTCCGGGGGCCGAGCCTGAAGGTGGCGCCAGCAGCTCAGTGATGACATCAGAGGCGCAGCAACACAGGAGGCGGCCATGCGAGGCCACGCCCCTCATTTTAGAGGCCTTCACGTTGCATAGAAACACTCCAAGAGAGCCTTGCAGCTGCCAAGGGGAAATTAATAATAAAAGATAGCATTGGAAAACATACAAGCCAAGAACAAATCCCACAGTACAGACTATTTATTGACTCCTGAGTAAGTTAGCTTTTCTCTAATTTAGAGTTAGCATCTTTATCATTAGCTGTTAGCTTGACTCTGCTTAGCTGCTAGCATGATTTACTAGAGAAATGCAATTTTCAGACATATTTTGATTTATTATGACTCCAAATTTGACATTGGTTGAAAAATTAAGTTAAATTCCTTGTATTTGTGTAAAATCTAGTTAAGTAAATCCAAGTTTTTCATTTCTTATTTAAACAAGAAACTATTGCATCTAGATTTGGAAAGCTTTAATATAGGAATTAATTCTATATTAAAGAATTAATAAGTTTTAAGACTTTTATTAAGTCTTAAAACTTAATAAAATACATTTTGATTTCAAAATATTATTAATTAGTTAATTATGTGTTTTTATTTATTTCAGTTTTTTGATCCAGTGGAAACTTGACAGCATACATTTTAAATAAATATTTCATTTCACTGCTTAAAAATACACCTATAAAATCTAATCATTCACATGAAATGTTCATCTTTTACATTTGCATTATAATAAAAACAAATATAGCGCAAAGTAAAAGAATTGAGTGTAATTTCCTATTATTTTGATAGTTTAGGTTAATTTTTGAATATCCTTCCAAATCAAAATGATATTTTATACACAGAAATATTTGAAGGCATACTGAAAAGGGTTTGAAAAAAAGTCACATTTTGTTATGAAAACTTTTAACTTCATAATTTGGAAAATTAAGCTAAAATAGTGACACAATAAAGTCAGTTTTCGTTCAAAACACCTAATATAATAATGTTGTTTCCTGGGTTTCTTAGCGTTAACCTGGTCCAGATCTTGCAGTCCTCCCAGTTTGCTAACGACGGTCCGCGGCGCGTTTTCTCCCACATCCACTTCCTGAACACTCATGGCTTCCGCCAGCGGGTGGCGCCGGACGCTCAGGATTCTTCCGACACGCAGATCCAGACGTGACGCGTCGATGCGAGACTCCGCCCCCAAAGAGAGCGGGTCTGAGACCGGACGAGCTACAAGGCGGATACAAAACGTGACTGTCGTTTTATTTTCCGCTGGTTTATTTTAGTTTGTTCTTACCTTTCCTCTCTCCTCTCCTCCGCCTGCCTGGTCGGTCTCTGCTCTCGCCAGAGGAAACGGAGGGAGGAGGACAGTTTGGAGGAACAGCAGCTGTTGCTCCTGCAGGGGAGGCGGGGTCAGGGTTGGAGTGGGCGGGGCTTACACTCTGAGGGGGCGCAGCCTGAGAGAACAACGCTTTGGCTGGAAGAAAGAAAACATGTTAAATCAGCAAGAAATTGATGAAAGAATTCATCCTGAGCTCAGTAACTATGTACCAATGACGACTGAATGCATCTGAGTAACTTATAGTTTAGCAAGATATCAAGTCTAACGCAGGCTGTCCGCCGTGTTTACAAGAGGTTAAAAACATTTCCATAACAATCCTTCAGAACTTTACGGTTCCTCAGTCCCCAATGAAAACATCTTTTAAAGAAACATTGGATCATTTTTTGACCTGGTGGAGTTAAGATGTTGTTTAGGGTGATGTAAAAGCGTTAAAGTTGTTGAATCGTTGGTAGTTTCTTTCAGAGTCCGTACCGGTGCGTCTCTTCTGCTTGTCCTGCAGCTGACCCCTCAGCTGGTCGATGTCCTTTTTCAGTTTGGCGTTTTCAACCAGCAGCTTCTTCTGCTCTCTGACGGACGCCTGCAGCACTGCAACACACACAATATCGTATCATCCACAAGGTGGTGCTGTGTAGTTTGGCAGGAAAGAGGGTTATGAGAGAGGGGGAAGACATGCGGCAAATGTCACCAGGCTGGGAATCAAACCTGCGACCACCATCACGAGGACCAAGGCCTCAATATGTGGGTTGTGCTTTGCCCCTGCACCACCACAGCACCTACAAAATGCACTTTTTTTTTTTTGCACTTTCATTCTTGTGACATTTTAAAGTTCGCTCAAAATTCGCATGACAGTTGGTGGGAAACAGAGCTCAAGATTAGCTACATTTTAGCAGAAATGCCAAACCTGCAGAATGAAAAAGGTTTGGTTGAAAAGTTCCTGTCTGACAACATGAAGCAGGAATTCATTACATCCTATACGGAACAACATTACTGTCAGTCTTCAAAGTTTACTAAATCAATTGTGAGTCTTTAGAAATGATCCACAGAAGCCAAGTTTCAACCACAAATCTGTTCAAAACATCTTTGATATTCTGCAAAAGATTTTAAAAAAAATAGCAAATTTGCTTTTTTTCTTGTTAAGCAAGAAATCCAATTAAAATGTAAAACATTTTGTTAGAGCTGTTTGGTTACCAGAGTTACTGGTGAATAATCACCAAACATATCTGGTCATGCCTTCAAACTCTTCAACATCCAGAACCAACATGTTTGGACCCGTCTGTCCCAACAGAACCAGAACCAAACTGGTTTCAGTCAACAGCTTCTGGGTGACCTGAACCCGGCTGAAAGGCTTTAAAAGCCTGAAATTAATGTGGGATTATGTTCATAATGAACACGTCTGAGCTGACCTCTGACCTCTAACCTGTTGATGTCATTATGCTCTCAGGGTTTGGGGTCTTACAGGCTTTTTCTCTGCTCAGCAGCGCGTGGGTTTTAAAGTACTCCATGATCTGCTCTCCATCATCCGGGTCCAGTTTCTTCAGAGCCTCTGCCAGGCTGAAAAAAAAACAACAACAAAAAAAACAACCATCAAATAAAACAAACCATGTGCTGACAGAGGTCAGAGGTCAAAGGTTTTCTGCCAATCTGAAATATTAGCAACAGTTTTCAGATTGTTGTTATTAGCATTAATTGTTTCCCTGTTAAAGAAATAAACTGATAATTTTTGTAGAAGTGGTTGAAATGTTTATAATTTTATTTTAAAATAAAAGTATTTGAACAAAAAAAAATCATTTTTTTTATTATATAAATGGAAAGATGTCTATTTAAAATGCCCTTTTCTGTCAGGTTCAGATGTCATCAGTCTGGTTAAACACCAACAGAAACAATATTCAGTCAAACATCATTATTCAAATGAAACAATGACGTCCCAGACGATCAGATCAGATGTTTATGTTTAGATGAGATCTGAGCGGCCGCTGCCTGCCTCAGGGCGCCACACACAGCTAAAGGTCAGAGCTAATGGACCAGAAAAGTTTGTTTTTATTAAACCATGAATGAGTGCAACAGCTTCCTGCATGAAATGATCATAAAATGGTACAATGTCAGAAGAACTCATGCAGACAATGCAAAACTTTGTAGTTTGTTTCAGAAATGGGCAAATAATTTCCTACTTATTCATCTCCGACAAACACAACAAACTTAAAAACGGCTTTGAAAAGCTAAGCGTACAACTCATTAAAAAACTGCAAATAGAACATTTTCAAAAAATACTTTTACATTTTTCTACAAGTTTCATTATTTTATTGATATTTAAAAATGATACATCAATCTGTGACACTCTGATGATACAGAATACAAATTCAAGACATCAGTGACAAGTCTGAAATTTCATTCCAGATATTTCTCATAGAAAAGCCGTTTAATTAACAATATCGGGAATTAATTTGGAGAATTTTGTCTAATCAAAATTGCAGTTTGATTATAGTTGTAATTATAATTGTAGAAATTATAGCTCCAGATAAAAAGTGAGATATTGTAACTTTACTTTGACTACTCATAATATAATTGTTGAAATTGTCTGAAATTTATATTTTAGATGGTCAATAATTAATTGCAGATATGTTGAATTAAAGCTTCCATACAAATTAATGGTAAATCCGATCTCATTTATATTAGTCAGAATGTAATTAGATCTTAATTTACAAATACATCTAGTCAAACCAATTTCAGATGTCTGGAATGTTGGTGTGGTGAAACTGATTTTATGTTAAATCGGCCTGCCATATCCTCAAAGAGACAAATTAGCATGCTAACGGAAATTAGCTAAAATATGAGAGAAAGTTAGATACTAAGGAAATTTTTAATGGTTTCAGCGGCAGATTATGTTAGATTGTGGACGTCAGACTTGTTGTGGACTCACAAACTTCACCGGATTAGATTAACTGGACCACTGCGGACGTAAAAGGACAGATTTTGTTCGAGATTTTTCTGTTCTGTCAATGATGGAGACTTTGATCGGTGAGTTGGACGTTATTTTGCATTT